GTCTTTGTTTCCTATATCTTCTCTGCAACCTATTGGAGTCTAAGTGAGATATGGCTCAATTATTACGTCTAAGTGTGGTTTTGGTGTAGTGATAATACACCAAAAATGCTCAGTGGAAATTTTACCGAAAAACATATATATCTTGCCTCAATTTCCATTGGTTTATTAATTATTGTTTAGAATTTAATTACAATATTTATTAAAAATAAAGTAAAAAATATTTTTGCCAAAAAAAAAAGGGTTTGCGCGACGAAGAAGTAACCTGCGTTGCGCAAAGCCACTTTGCAAGACGTAGGTCCCTACTACCTTGGCGCGATAGTTGGTGCCTGACGAAGGTTTCATTGGGCTTATTTTTGCACGATGTTTTTTGACTTTGTGCGACGAGGGACCTATGTCGCGCAAACTGTTTTTTGTACTAGTGAGATCACAAAGAAAATGGGGGAGAAGCAAGAATTATATTTTGGGCACTGCTAGTTTGACTTATGATATATGTCAAGTCATTCGTTGGTTGTCAACGACAAGACTATGTAACATTATTTTACCGTATAAATATAATAATAATTGACAGTTTATTATAAAGATGTTATTTGGTAATATAATTTTTATTTATTTGACACATGTGAACGACTAAACACCCTCCAAATTTAATATATTTTTTTAGAGATGATAACAAGCATAAACCGTTCTAATTATAATTGAAACAGTGAAATAATGTCATGTCCTGGTGGTAAAATATGGTTCTTAAAACGCGTTTGGTTGCTGGGTTTGGTGTATTATATAATATGGCTAGCTAGGTACAAGTATAATTGGTGTATTATTATGATATGGCTAAGCTAGGTTCAAGTATTATAAGACCATCTCCAACCGAAGGGTTCAGAGGGTCGAAAAAAAGCCGAAAACTGTCTTCAACCGAGGGTTAGGCCAGAGGGCTGTGGAATCTGAGAAGGCCCCACGGAATCGGAGAGGGCTGAAGGGTTGGCTGCATGGCTAGCCGTTGCATTTGAATATATATATATATATATATATATTTTTTTTTTTTACAATATTATTATTATTTTTTATTTACAAAATTTTTCCTATAATTTATATTTTTCATAATTTTTTTAAATTCTATTTTTTTTCCTATAACTTTTATTTTACAAAATTTGTTTCATATTTTTTTTAAATTCCATTTTTTCCTATAACTTCTATTTCACAAAATTTGTTTTATTTTATTTTAAATTCTATTTTTATCCTATAACTTCTATTTCACAAAATTTGTTTCATATTTTATCCTATAACTTCTATTTCACAAAATTTCCTATGACATCACTTAGCCGTTGAATTTGAATTTAAGTTGTAGTTTTTAAATAATAAATTATGTTTGGCCCTATGGCCTTTTGGCCCTCAGTTGGAGACGGTTTTTTGTGACATGACTAAAACGAGCCCTATGACCCTTTGGCCATCGATTGGAGACGGAGGCAAATATGGCCCTGTATTGCTCATTAAAATATTAATTTCTTAGAGGGCTAGAGGGCTAAAATGAACCCTCTGGCCAGCCCTTGGTTGAAGATGGCCTAAGTGTTTAACATGGGGAAGAAGATAAGGTGGTGCAACCAGTGATAATGCAAAGTTAGAAATTCCACCCAACATCCACTTAATATTATAGTCTAGTGATACTTCTATTTACTTATAAATGGAAAGTCTTACAACATCTCGAATTCCAATCTAGTTTAACAAAATTCGGAAATGTTTGCCTAACCCGAGTTTTGATGCCAGAGTTGGCGCAAATGTATTGTTGACATAGATGTATTGAAACAATGTTTGTTAACAAAACTTACAGCATCTCGAAGATAAATTTTAAATTTTGTTAAACTAGCAAGTGAACAGTGCAAAAAACTATTTTAGCTACTCAATTTAACTTTTCATCTCCAATAACATTCTCAAACTTTGAATATTTTATTATTAACTGTTCAAATCCAACCCACTCACTTTTTAAAACAACCTTCACTGTCTTCCTTTCTCCTTCTCAAGGGTCCACCTTTGGTTTTTTTATTTATTTAAATATTTAGCAAGTGAATAGTTGCACTCTAAATTTAAAGAGTAGCTCAACTGATACATATGAGCACATATAAGGTTCTTAATTTTTCAATGCGAGATTCATTATCTAAACATGTCCATTCAAGTGTGCCACAATTTAATTGTAATACGTAGACAATATATATATATATATATATATATATATATATATATTAAGCGATGTGAGATCATGTCGATCATTGTACTTCACTAGGACTATACAAAAATGTAAGTTTTCACCATAAAACATCTCTTATCAATAAAAAAATGTTATATATAACCAATGTAAATGTAAGCAAACATTTGATTGTAGCAAGAGCATTGTTACTGTATCAAATAACTATATAGGTATGAAAATAAAAGGTTTTACATACTTGATGGTCATCACAAGCTGCAGGCTGCATGGTATTGGTAATTGTATGGTTCAAGCGTGATAGGAATTCCAGCAAATGAATCAGGAGGCCGTAGGCATCAGAAAACTTGATCCATCTCGAAACGCGTTCCCAAGCCACAAGAGAAGAGAAGAAGATGAGTTTTTTTAGGCTGTATACCACCATACAATAAAATACAAAACCCTAGCTAAATCATATATATATATATATATATCATCATATCATATCATATCACTTATGTGGAGCCAAAACCCTAAAAATTTACTAGCTACATTATCTAGAACTCTCCGATTGGACCATTACCACAGGCAACAGGCCCACACCCACATCACCGGCATGATCAGACGGCACCGTATTCCCACCGCCAGCCAGGAAGGAAGGGAATGTATCTGTCACTTATAAGGGGGGTCTGGTGAGATTTCTGACCCTGTCATGTGATTGTGGGGGCTTTGGCCTTAAAAGGAAGTGAAGTTTTTAAGGGCAAAGTTAGACCATCACAGTTGACTGTTGACAGTTCCACTCAAATGGTGTTTTTCTGCATTGTAAACAAACACTTTCAGGAAAAATAAATAAAAAGAAAAATGATTCATCCACCCCCAAAAGCACTTATTGTGTGCTAAGTGCTTCTTCAAACAGTTGGTGGATCTGAACCCTTTATTGATCTTTCATCACATTCACTACTTGAACATTTCTGTGTTTCTATTGCTTCTCTTTTGGAGTAAAGACCTAGATTTATGGTGAGAGTCACTGAAATTAAAATGACCATCTTCTGCATTTGATTAGGGTTTTTGGTCATTGGACAATTGGTATTGCATGTAAGTGCTAGGTGGGTCCCACTTGTTAATCAAAGGATCCAGATGAAGGGAGATTTTTTCAATGTAATCAGAACATAAGGTGGCACACCACATGTCACTATACAAATTGTGAGATATGTGTGTTAAAAATTTAATAACTTAAAAGATAAAATTTCTTACCAATTATATAAAAACACGTGGTATACTGAGGTGGTACACCACATGTCACTATACAAATTGTGAGATATATATGTTAAAAATTTAATAACTTAAAAGATAAAATTTCTTACCACTTATATAAAAACACGTGGTATATTATATGTGTTCCGATCATAATAAAAAATTTCTCTAGCAAATGATGGACAGCATGCTCCACTGTGATGCTCTTCCAAATCTACGAAGCAATAATCGGATATCAACCTTTTAACTTTTTTATCTACCTTACGATAGAAGAAATTGTTTCCCAATAAAGAAAGGAACCAAAAATCAAGGCAGGAAAGAAAAAAGATCTAACAGCTTTGTCACCTTAAAAGATTGACCACAAAATTCCAAGAACATATATGTGAGGACGTTAATTTCCGGTCTTTCGTGTGGACATCGACTCTAGTTATTCAACAACATTGTTACAATTTCTCGTTTAAATTTTAAGTTTTAACTCGAAAGTTAAACTTAAAATATGGACTTCTAAGGTTACTTGTACCTTCCAAAAACAATTAATCGAGGACTGGATCTAAACTTGAAGGAAAAGTATTGATGAAAACTAGCGTCGATCACAACTTTCACCTTAAAATATAACATGTTGATCGAGTAGTCATTTAGACAATATCACTAAGTTAAAAGAGATTGCATGTGGTTTTCATGCTCAGCCCAGGTCCAATGCTGGCACGACGACCGTTCGGGGCCCAAAATAATTGGGGGCACCAAAATTATTAGGGTGATATATTTATATATATTTTCATAAGTGTATAAATTTATAAAATTTGGTTCAATGACAAAGTATTTAACTATAGTTGGTAGTTTTGTTGTTTGAAATTAATGAGGAGGTCTTGGGTTCAAAACACCATGTGTGCTTATTTACCTTTCAATTTTTACAAATTTCTTTTCATAAGAGTATAAATATACAAAATTTGGCTAAATGATCAAGAAGTTTAATTAGAATCAATGATTTTTGTCGTTTAAAATTAATGAGGGGTCCTCAGTTGAAGATGCTAAGTGCATGTTTATTCTTTTCAATTTTTACGAATTTTTGTTTGATTGTTATTTTATTTTTAATTAGTAGCTAGTAGCTATGTGGGTTGTTATTCTTAAACATTTGTTCCAATTCAAGTCTAATCTTCAACAAAGAGTAATGCATTGACCAAATTTTAGACCAAATTTGCAAATCATATGATGTGTCATCAAAAAGTTTAATTTAGTACCCATTTATTACTTATACATATCAATTAAAGACTCAAAAACATAATTATTTTTTTGATCCCCTATTGACAAGGTTAGTAAATACTAAATAAAAAAAAACACCTCACGATTTATACAAACACACTTTAAAAGTTTAGATGGAAAACAAAACTCATATCTATCTACTTGTAAACTCGGAGTTTTTTTGTTTCCTTCTCACGATACAAAATAAATTAATTTTTCCGCGTTTCTAAATTATTAAGTTTGAAGTGATTTTCTAAGTATTATCTTATCGATATCTTACGTGTGAAAACAAATAATTTTCTTAGATAAAGTGAGGGCACATTTTTTGACGTCGCCCCATGGCCATGCCTCAAAAATCTCTAGACCAGCCCTGGTGGTCTCATATTCTAGAGGATAGGGTATTGAGTTTTCAGCCATGCGTACATCCCTTTTCAAACCTCTCTCCTCTATTAAATTATTATAATAATTTCGACCTAAACTCTTCTCCCCTTATTATTATTATTATTATTATATATTGTTATAAAGAAGAGAGAATTTTGTATACCACCTATGTTCTTTTTTTTTTTTTTTTGAAGGATATACCACCTATGGTTTATGAGAATTAAGGGAAGTAATTGTAACGGCACTTCACCATGTAAGTCAAGCCCGGGGTACAAAATATATTGTAACACATTCGATTTGAAGTAAAGGAACCTAAAATTGGTGTCTATATATATTCTTCCCAGAGAAATGGTGGTCTGTTCTCAATAATTTCATTCACTCGTTTTCTTCGGCTTCTCTTCTCTCTTAACATTGTGTATTTCTCTCCTTACTCCCCACTGCACATTTTCTGATAAACTCCACTAAGTCATTTATCTTTCCCATCCCTCTGCACCTCCTCCAGTACTACTTTCCATCACTTTTCTCAGCCTTCAAACCCTACGTCCCCTTGCTTTTCTCTTTTCTTCTCAAACACTCAGACACTTCAAATTTTATTTTTCTTACCAGTTTATATATATAATATAAAGAAAATTATAGGCTACGCATATATATAGCAATGGATATTGGCCAGTACAAATCAGAGGAGCAGATGGAGATGATGATGATGATGATGCAAATGGAAAAAATCTCTGAGCTCTGCGGTGCCTACAACGATGTGGTTTCCGACCTGCCGCCGTCCGATCACAATTTCTCATCCACCACAACTAGTCCTAATAGTCTCAGGGCCACCATGTCACATTACACTGACCAAAACACACGTAACAATAATATTCATTCACCAAACTCACAATCCTTCCTAAACCTCCCAACAATACCATCCACCATTTCATTCACCAACACAAACCCAACCGACCAAACAAACGGCACGTCGTTTTCAACACTGTCGCAAGAAAATGCTTCGATGGCAGCCATGAGGGAGATGATATTCCGGATTGCAGCCATGCAGCCAATCAACATCGACCCGGAATCTGTTAAGCCGCCAAAGAGAAGGAACGTGAAGATTTCTAAGGACCCTCAGAGCGTTGCGGCCCGGCATCGGAGGGAGAGGATTAGTGAGAGGATTCGAATCCTGCAGAGACTTGTCCCGGGCGGGACAAAAATGGACACCGCTTCCATGCTAGATGAGGCCATTCACTATGTCAAGTTTTTGAAGACTCAGGTCCAAACGCTGGAGAGGGCTGCGACTAATAGGCCTACCGGGATTGGATTTCATGTGGCCATGTCTAGTGGCAGCTACATTTCTAACTCTATGTCTAAGGCTTACCAAGCTCCTCATCATCATCAGAATGTGCAGCATTTCGGTGACGCTTAATTATTGATTAATTAGTCCAACTGATAACGAGATTAATGTTAATTGTTTGATTGTGGGGTTGTAAATTAGGAACATGCATGAAACTATTATGATCTTCGTCGATCTTATATAGTTTTAAGCTTACTTGTAATCCATGTTCTCTCTTCTATTAATTAAATAATAACATCCCTCAATTTTCATGAGAGTCCCGGAGATCTTCCAATCACATCGTTCATCATACATTATACGGCAAGTTTTCGTCAGGTACTGTTTAATATTCAATTTAAATAAAAAAATTACAATAATTTCTGACCGTATGATGTATGATGAACATATGTGATTTGAGAATCTCTAGAATTCTCACAAAGAGAATCCGACGAGAATCCTCACTCGATTTTCATGAAAGAATCAGAGAAATTGGCAGAAATTATTGAACTAATCAACTTTCAATATGTCGTCGAAATCTAATCACTAGTGTACGTATTGGATATTTAATAATTTTATTGCTAATATTCAAATTTTAATCATTTTTTATTTATTTTATGAAAGAGAGCTTCATGTAAAATCAAAGAATTATGAAAAATTGCAGTTGGGGAATCATGTGTACTTTGTCATATGGTCCTTGGGAACATATAAGAATGTACTATATATAATTTTTTGTGAGTTGACAGGTTTACGAAACTAGATGCATCTTTACGTGCTGGTGAGAAAAAAATCTAGAGAGACCAAGAACTAGCAGCTGGGTCATGATAACAATAATGTTGATGGACCCTGCGTGCAATGGAATGGTTGGGACAAAATATTATTGGCACGGAAAAGTTGAATGCTTTTACAAAATAAATCACATCATATCTTATCATCTGACACGATTATTAAACGTGTAAATATTTTATTGAAAAGTTAATTTCACATTTATCTGAGAAGTTCATCACTTTACATTTATTCGAGAAGTACATCACTCAGTTTATGATACACTAGATGATTAGTTGAGATTATACAAATATAAAATACCAATGATTTTTTAGCATGTATTCCATGACAGCATATATTACTCAAAGTTAGGGAGAGTTGAATGGCAAGTAGGATGGGAGGAGGAGAAGAAGGAAAGAGGTAGCAATTAATATTATGATTGTGAATTATAGAGAATGCATGAGAGGTCCACGTGAAGTTCTCTGACATAACGGTGGAGGTAGCTTTTACGATTACGCAAAGCGATAATGTTGTTTTCAGCCATCACCACTTCACCACCCTTCCCGTTACGAACACGTGAACTCTATCCCACATGGCAATTCTTCGTGGCTCTTTAGTGCCAACACATCACAACGCAACACTTGCTGCACTCCCCTTGAACTTTGTTGCCGTTGTAGAATGTGTATACGTATCAGTTCTTGATAACGATTAGTATTGTGTAGAAATATTAAATTTGATGATTTGATGCCAATATAAACCCCAATATGTTTTAGGAGTGTAAAACACCTCACAGTTGCCACTTTCCTGTAACTTGCTACTGAATTTGCATCGGGGAACGGGGCTTCTGGAGGCCTTCAAGAGTTATAGAAAAATTAATGAAAATAACTTAAAAATTTTGAGTTTTAATAAAAATGCCAAAATAAAAAGTAAGTGAATAGTATCATAATTGACTTTTTAGTGTAAAAATATAATTTTTCGTTAAAGTAAACAATACCAAGAATTTTTCGTTAAAATTCCCTTCAAAATATTCAAGACTTTCTATTTTTGGAGAACTTCCACACCTTTCTAAATTTATAATTTTAGGGTCCTTATCCATTTTTGTCAGAGACGTGCCATAAGGTGCAACCTCGCAAGCAACTCCAAGGGGTTTCTCTTTTCGCATGAGATAATATTGGGCACCTCTTAAGTTCCTGAAAGAATTCAAACCCTATAAAATAAAATAAAAATACAAGCTTGAAAATGGTAATGACAATAAAGTTAAGAGGAAATATATAGATCACTTTTGTTTAATACTATATTGTATGCATTCCATAAAGGGGTCAATAAAAGGTTGGTTAAGTAGGTAAAGATCGTTCTTTTTACTAGATTAAAGTTTAAATTCGAGTTTCGTTGTCGGTAATCTCTCTTGGTGGAGCTCTATAAAAACCAAAAAAATAGACCCTTAATTTATAGGTCCTCAAATAGACTTGTTGAATGCCTTGTCGACGTTGTCGTGAGCTGAGTTAGTCTTCCCTCCCTCTAAACTTCATGTTACCGAAAAAGGGGTCAATATTGTTTACAAATATAGTAAAGAGAAGTTTCCAAAAAAAAAATATATATATATATATATATAGTAAAGAGAAATGAAGGGTAGGTTGCTTCCCAATGGTGGATCTAATGAGGGAAGTGCTAATGTCTCAACACACCAATAAAATAAAATAAAACCATTTATTCCCTACATCCACAACATCCCAACCAAATCTAACACAATCTAGGAGAAATACAAAATAAGGGAAACATAGACATGAGATAATATATAGATATTAATAACTTTTACTAAATAAGAATGGTCAAACAAAAAACAATGAGAAGACCCATGTCATGTGAGACATATGGCTAAGGTCCCCAACATCCTCATCCTCAAGGTCGTCTTCAATGGAGTAAGAGGTGTCCCCTTGTCCTTTGAATACAAAGCATAGACCCTTCCAAAACGCACAAGTGCCTTGCATCTCTTTCATAAATCTACTTCATGCACCAAAGCATTGAAATCTTTGGTTCAATTTCTAAACCCTACAACTAAAAACATGAATATGGTGTCAATTTAAGTAATTACATGCATTAGAGAGATTGATGTTCTTTTTTGTTTTCCTCGGAAATGTAATTAAGTGACAGAATGAGGGACATGCATTATCAAATTAAAATATAAAACGTGTAACAAGTTTTTATTTAGAATTGAGATTTCTAATTCTATGTTACGTTGTATAGAATAATACAAATTGCATGTGAACTGAGAGTGCGGAATTGTCCTAGTATATAACATCCTTCTTTCATTTTTTTTTTTTCCGTTTTCAAAATTTTTTTTTTTAATGTATGGTTCAGTGTAAAAGTGTCGCTGCTATAAATAAATAAAAAACCAACATGCTGCATGTGAATTCACACCAAGTCCTTGTAATATTTGAGGAATCGATTTTGAGAATTATTATCAATATTCTAAAAATTTTAATTTGTAGTTTTTATAAGTGTTTTTTTTTTCTTTCTAAATATAAAAAATTTGCAGTGTCAAATTAAAATTTTGAAGCGTCAATAACAATTTTTTAAATTTTAATTTTTTTTTTTTTTTGTTAAATTTGTGTGGGGATTTTAGATACAATTAAGGGTAGAATATGCAAAGATAAGGCCAACCAAATGAGCAATGGCTAGAGTCCAAAATGTGGGACTAAGAGACGTTGGTTGGTCGGATTGGATTTGGTAGGGGCCCACTGGGAGAGTGACGGAGGGTGACACAATCTTAATCTCTCCCTCTGTCCTTTCTCGCAGGTGGTATGTATTTCAACACAAGACTCCACATCGAATTTGTCCCAATTCCTACTTCTAGGAGTCTGGATAAACCCACCTCTCATATCACTATGAGTAATGCTACTCGATAGATTTTCAACTTGCTGAGAATATAATTGGGTATATCTAAATAACAATACAATGGGTTGAAATGTCCAACTAATTGTATTATGACATATAGTGTACCGGATCATGTTCTCAGCATACTAAAAAATTTATCCTTTCTATAAGAGATGTTATACTTTGCATTAATACAAATTATTGAGCACATTAATCTTAACCAATGTGATTATGTCACGTTTTCTTGAATGATACAACATTATGTGATTCAATTGTTGGTTATAGAGTATTAAGCTGTTAGGCAATTCCATTGTCGATTTAGGAGTATTGAGCTTTTAGGCGATTTGATTGTCAATTCTAGAGTGTTGAGCAGAAGATTACACCTATTGAGTTAGGTTTCCATATTTGCATGATTAAATGTTACGTAGGGACACACAAAATAAATTACATGCATTACTGTCACACTCTTTAATATACAAGTATATCTCACTTAAAATGGTGATGCCTCCTTTTGTTAGGAAGTGTATTAATAAAGTAGTTTGTTTTGTGTAAATAGGATTATTGTCGTGGGTTAAACCAAAATTAATGGAAACGTCGAAAAGGAGGTGAAAGCTTCACAATGAGTTGAGGTAGAATTTTAACTAAATTGCTATAAAATAAATGTCATGCTCAACTAATTTGAAATGTTTCTTCTTCTTTTGTTTTTTTTATTTTTTTTCCCAAGTCATTTGGGTGTACCAAGTCAATTTTTGGGTGTATTTAGAAGATGCTATCTTTTGCTGCCTTTGCGCGAGGCCTGGTCATACTTCCACGATGAAAATATTTCAGATCAGAGATTGCAGACCCCGGGAAGGCCCAATGTTTATCAATGGTCATGGGACTACCCGTCAATTTCAGCAAAATTGGGAAGAAAAAATGGGCAACCTTTATAGAATATTAGAGAGACGGACCAAAGATCCACTTTCAACAACACCGATAATATTCCCGACTTGATAATTATCATATGCACAATCTGTTAGATGTGAGGTTTTATCACAAAAGCCTCCGTATTGGGGTTAGGATATTTAAACTATTATTTCTTTTTTTTTTTTTTTTACTGCTGATGTGAGATTCAACAACCTTGACATTTCGTCGCAGATGGTAAGTTTTTATTATGTTGTCATTTTATCATCATATTATGGGCGATAGATGAACAATGTTTCAGGCATGGAAGAGAAGTATTATCAGACTAGCTGTTTTCAAATCCGCTAGTAACATCAAAAGATTAAGACTAAAATACCCATGAAACATGATATACACCTTGCAAATGTTTAATAACTAAGAAGAAGAATTTAAAAAACGTAAACCATTAATTGTCATTTGACAATAACAGTGATTCATGCTATACGACGTCAGATCGATTATTGATGAACCCTATAAATTCCATGTCATATGCTGAAATATGGTTTATTTTTCTCTCCAGATCCTTTGATAATTTGATTCAGTGACCTTCATCTTCTTTTGATTAATTCGATCCAACGACCAAAAATGAAACGTGTAAAACAAAGTTTTATTTACCGAGATGGTTTAGATTTGATGGTCCGTACGAACGGCATAACAAAATCTGGATCTCTGTTTTACAAAATTGCTAGTTCTAACTGAACATGTTACAAACTAAACACGACATTGAATCGAATCAAAATTCTAATGCATGATGATGCGAGTACGAAGAAGGTGAGTGTTCAAAATCGATCACAAAATCGTAAGGGGAGCAGTCTAATTGATCCTTGTTTTGAGGAAACCATAGAGAAGACGATTGTAGTTCCATTTGCACAAGAAGCTTCATTGTTTAGAAAAAAATTGAACAGAGTATACAATCTGAAGTCTTTGATTTACATACACACAAGCATTATTAGTCACACCAAGAATTTTCTCACCGGGTAGGGTCATCTCCAACTGAACTTCAGGCATTGGTGCTTCGTGCCACTATAAAACCGCGTTGACGCTGATCGAGTGTCAAAATAGTAGCTGCTAACTGCTGTACACCGTTCATTTGTGTCCTGAATTTAGTCTGGAAGATAAATTGGCATTCGGCATCAGAACATGGTATAAGAATCATGTAAGGTTTCATAGCATTGATTAGACGGCGCAATGAGACCAAGCACATGCATGTTAATTGAATCGGAGAGGTTGTGGTTTATAGTTAAACTGCATCAGCAGCTAGTTGTCATTTCTTTAACTTTTTGAAAAACTACAATGGCTCGTGTTTTGTTAAATTGTTATCACAATCAACATTCACGATTCATCATATAAAACAACAAAGATTGAGAAGCTAATTTTTGGAAAAAGGTGAACTATTTTGCAGAGACCAATTACCTTGCTTTATCGCTCGAGTGGAGCAACACGTGGCTGGAAGGCATCACAAAACATGACATGTAAAACAATCACTCAAAGAAACCATATGACGAGTTCTTCGGAATGATAAAGCTTTGCGTGAGGTTCTTGCAACTTGTGCTTGGTCGTCTACAACTGAGCTTCTCATGTCTTGCGCTTTCTTCTGAGCTGATCTCAACTTGTTCATGATTTTATCCATGGATGATGATCTCTTCTTTTCCAGCTTCATCTGAAACAGATTACAAGTAAGGGCCACTAGTTGCAGGACATACATACAAAAACTGCGTCTCTAATACATGTGCGCATGTGTGTGAGAGAGATGGATGGCGAGAGAGAGACCTCCAATTTCCGTATTGCTGCCTCAGCTTTCGCCTTCTGCAGGTTCTCCCAAGCAATGATTTTTGCTTCCTCTCTATTAACTCTGAAGAATATAGAAATGAATCAGCACACATTTTAAAACATTAAGAAATACCACTATATTTATTTTCCTCATGATGAAAAAATTGGGTGACAAACATACTTTGAAATGCTCTTCGATGTGTCAGAGAGATCCCAAGCAGCAGATCGAACGTCTGCATCTTTCTTTTTCCAACTATCACCAAAATGAGAACCCTTCCCAGATCTTCGGGATTTATGCTTCTTGGACCACCTTGTCACAGTGACCCGTTCATCTACCTGCACATCCCTGACTTCCGACTTTGAAGAAGCCGCACTCTGCACTTCCATAATAGGCAGACCAGAGGAAGTGGAGGCAGAGTAAGAAGCCCGTGCCGTGGGAGATGAATGAGAGCTATCTGGGCTCATCTGGGTTGCCATATCCCTTCTTGAAACGGCACGACATACATTCGTAGCCTCATCCTTGACCCCATCACGGCCATCAAACTTTTCATCTGGTGTAAATAAACCAATGTATTCAAACCATCCATGCATAAGTACACTAGTTCTAACAATTCTTAATCAAAGACATCCGTTGTTCCGAAAGTATATCTAAAAGCTTATCAATTAACACAATCGAAACATGGTAATTAAATCACCTTCATTAATTGCTCATTCATGTAACAATCTAGTGATGGTAATGAAATCACTCAGCTCAATCAAGAAACTGATGTCCAATTCGCAAATTAAACACTAACCTTGAGAGTCGGGCAGTGAAGATTGCTGCTCCAGCACCTCAGAGCAACCATGAACACTAACCGAACGGGCAATGCAGGCCTCTGCCCGCGTTGTAAAGCCGCCATTTTGGGCACCGGATTGGAACCCCAACCCATCAGCTGATATAACACCAGCTGAAAACGGAGAAGCAGCCATGAAATTACTCACATTGGTCCCATCAAACATCGGCATGGCCGGCGAGTACGACGAGTAATACGCAACCCCAGGAGGCCCAAGCGGACCGCTCTTTGACTTGGGCCGTCTCTGAGTCTGCTGATTCGACGGCCTCACCACACCATCCCCTTGAACCGGACTCAAAATCCACCTCTCGGCATCTTCCCACTTCGACGGCAATGTCCTTCCGTTATTAAACGGCAACATCACAGCCGCCGTATTCTTCCGACCCACATTGGTATGCGACGGGACCCGCTCCGAGCTCCAACCCTTTTGAACACCGAGACTCGTGTGCCGGTAACTCGGTGTGCCTGGACTCGGGAAGTTGGCCGATTTCCGAGACGCCATTGAACCCTTCTTTATCGCGCCTAATCTCGGCGAGGACACTGATGCATTGTTGTTCAAATCCAACGAGGCTGGTCTCGGCCGGTCTAGCTTCTTCGATAGAGCTTCAGATCTGGACCGCCGGTCCTGGCATTCTATACAAACAGACAAAAACCCAAATGCTTAAAGCTGAGAACTTTGAATGGTTTGGACGGGATTGGACTAATTTGGACTGGGATTTTACCTTTGAGGGCGAGAGAGAAGGAGCTTCTGGCGGAATCGAGGACTAAATCCGAGTCGGAGTCCTCCTTTTGAACTGCGAGAGCTCGAAGCAGCCAAAAGCAACAGTGAGAGTTTGAAAATTGAAAAAATGGGGGAAAAGCGACGTCGTTTGTGAGCTGTAAATACCTTTGGCTTTTCCTCCTTTTGCGGAGAGACGGCGAGTGTGCTGAAAAGCGTGGATTCTGTTCGGATCCGGATCGCGATCTGGACCACTCGAGCTTTCCTCGTGGCGGCGATCGTGTGCGGCCGAGTTCTGCTGCATCCAAATCAACACATCAACAATTCGACCGTCAATTAATTAACCATGCAATCGGAAAATGCGGGTTCTATATCGGTACCGGAGAGATCTCGGAGGCGGTGGAGTCAGTCGCGGTCGAAGGAGCAGCGGTCGACGCTGGCGGAGGCGGAGGAGAAGAGGCTGAAGTTGGACTCTAAGGCGAAGATTACGGAGTCGGGGCTCGGGTCGCGGACTCGGAAACCCGGTCTCTGCTCCGGCATTTTTCACATTACCAAACTTGCAGAGTTCGCTGAAGATTCCGCTTCGAGTGACGGAGGGAGGGAGTGTGAAATGGCGGGTATTAGAAGGAATGGGATTTGTTTATGCGATTAAGTCACTGTCATTAAGCGAAGCTAATCACGCTTAAGGATTTTGTTTAACGAATCGGAAGCAGCGGTGGTGTTTAATTAAAGTGGATTAATTTATAATTTTTTGTGCCTTTTAATGTTGGGTCGTTGATTAGGTTTGACTAAGGGAAAATGACAGTGGTTTAATGAGGAAAAATGACAGTGTGGTCTACGTGTCATGTGGCAGGAGGTGGGTCCCGTTTTGGAGTTTAGGTCAAAGTAACATGGTGGCATGGACTTTTTAGTGTGTGACGTTTTGGTGACATGGAATTTGAATTTGTGATGAAATAAAGGGAATACCATTCAGAGTTCTTACGCTTTGTTTTACTTTCATATATTTTTTTAAATTTCTAACTGTTAGATCAAATTAATTGAAAAAAAATTAATTATAATAAGTTAACAAGTATGTAAAAGATAAAAATAAATATGCGAATGGCATTTTCCTAATAAAATTGACAAATTAATGATGTGTGTTTTGTTTGGTGATTTTTTTATTTTTTCTGGTAAAATGTTTGGTGATTTTTTTATAATGAATTGTATGATTTTAGAATTTTTCCCACGCGTAATAATGTTGTTTGATTTTAGAGTGAACTTTGCGATATCGTCACTAATTGATTTAGTTTGCTTGATTAGTTCTCACATGACTTTTCTTTGCACTACTTTTAACTTGACTAATCGACAAACTAGACATATATAAATATTATTTTCTTATCACGAAAGCTAGTGTGATCAATGCGTTAACGCTCCTTGACAAATAATTAGTGGTAATCTGTCTGAACGTTTAGGTTGATATCTTTCAGATACTAATAGTAGGAATGAGCTTCTTTCTTTCTGATTTCTCAATCACCATTTGCAGTAGCAGAGCTAACTTAGGGTTAACGACTGCTAATGTTCCAAACAGCTTCCTAACCCAATATATATTTGGTGACTAATTTATCTTTAACCCCAACTAAGGAGAGAGTGAATAACGTTGAGTTACAAATTGAGGCTTCTTCCTTCTTCAATTTTCTTTTTACTTTCCCGTGTCTTCCTTCTCATTTTTCTTGTGTGCAACCCATTTGTGCGCATCACATGCTTGACGTAATGCTTCGCTCAAAAAGCCTTGGTAGGCAAGTCTTGACAATTTGCTAGCTTGGGCATAGCTTGATAAATGTAGATGCTAGACGAACACATTAGCTATTGATGGATGTCATCACAAGCTTTTGGCGAATGTGAGTAGATTTTAATAGGTGCCCACCAGATACTTGACGGAATAGTGCAATACGATTTCTATCGGTCAAAATCATGACCCATTGTCATAAAATTCTTACTCCGTCAATGAAAAGTTTGAAAGATGATAAGTGACAAATCCCCATATTCAATCTCCTTAGATTCTCAACTCGAGGACGCTTATGTTTAAAGCTGTACATTTGCTAATAATCATATTCTTTCTTTCTTTTTTAGTTGGAAGGAACCACTAATCATATTTGGTGGTTATTTGGTCGAATCATCTTTCGGTGGTTTAGAATATGGCTGGAGGGGAAGAGATTCAATTTAAAGGGTAAGTTTGAAATTTAAAAGTAAGAGAAATGACCGAGTTTTTTAGGTGCAGTAGGACCACTCAAAGGTAAATCGTAAATGTAAAGTTTTCAACTCTCTTTCATGCAGTTAGATCAACTGTTAGATCATGCATGTAATAATTTAACATATTTTTTCAATCATTAAATCTAGCAAAAAATTACATGGAATTAGACGTAATATTGTAGCCGGACCTGTAAAGTTTGAATTTAACTTTACGGTCGTGGATTTACCTAATGTAAAACCTACGTTACATCAAATTCCTGGTCAGTTGTCGTTATCGTTCAAATTGTGGGAACACGGACAGAGCCAATGTCATAGACTCACATGGAGTTGAAGGAAAGAACATTTAATCTTGCTGCGTCTTCTTTGTTTATTTTCACACACACAGAAGAGGAACAGCGGAAGGCAGCCTCCTTCCCTCCACGGGTTGGCATTTGGCAGGCGCATCCGATATCTTCCTGTCCCCATCACCATCCCGACGTCCAATACATGACACTTGAGATCGACCCCATATTCTATATGCTATATTTTGTCCTTCACAACACAATTATTACGTCGTCAATATTAAGTATCTAACTTGTCATTCACGTAAATAAAATTTAACTCCACGTTCATAGAGGAAAAATACAAAATTATAATACTAGTTATAGAAACATATTAATAGTTTATTTCTATAAAACACAACGAGAAATCCAATCAAACAAAGAAAAATCGGTAAAAATAAGACCTATTTGTTTAAGGTAATCTCAGATTGTAGAGGAGCCAAGTTGTTAGTATTAGGTACACCAATGACAGTATTTTAAACTAATAGCGCATTGTCATATATTTTAACTTTTTCACATAAACAGGACGTTATCGTTGAAAACAATCCATAATGACGTATCCAGTGTTGATAAACAACTAGTTCATGTTGGTAACTCATATCCATGAGAAAATTGAGGCATAAAAGGTGGGGAATATTTTGACTATCGATAAAGAAGTAGAGACAGCATTATGTCCAACCCATGGCATTGGCAATGGCAGCTACAAAAACCTAAACTAGTGCCGCTCAAACCGGTTTTATGCAGCTCAAATCACATTATAAATCTGACTGAATAATTAATGGTCAGATTTCTGTGTTTAATTAAGTCAAATTTAACAAGATCTTAGATCTAGTTATCATACCTTGATTTGTCAAGCATTGATCTACCCTCATCATATTGGTCAACAGGATGTACACGACCAGCGTAGAGTTAACAGGACGGTGATTATATACTGCCGGCGATCCCGGTGTTGTTACTGCGTCATAAGAACAAAGTTAGTTTTGTTGCTGTAAAAGATATATAGTTTTCTTGCTTACAGGACTGTACAATATTACAAAGGTGAAACTTTGTGTTCAGTGCATGAGGCTAGGCTCCAGCTAACACAGGATTTTGGATTAAGGTATCAGCAACCGCACCTTTTTCCGGACAAATTGTTTCTACTATTCACAACTGCAACTATTTGATCGCTTTTCACAAGTCATGACGTTACGTTAAGGTGCTGCTCAATATCTCACCACCTAATGGATAAAGCTAGATTATCATCATCTCCTGGCCGTTTCACTGAAGTAAACAGTTATCCCCCTCAACTTGCCGTTTAAGAAGTTTTTCTCAACCTGGGAGCAAATAATACCCAACAGTCAGGGATAAGAGTATGATACTCCATTTGGTGATAGATAGAAAATGGTGCAACGTTCTTATAGAAAAGAAGTTAACAACGGTGGGGACTCTAGATCGATGATTCTCACAAGGCGCTATCCATTGGTGGGGAGTGGGGAGGACAAGAAACTTGAAAGCATTATAAACTGAAAACGAAAATGATAAACACACTCTCTCTCCTCATACACACCCTGTTTAATCATGTCCATTGTTTCCATTTGATTTATTCAATCCGATGGCTAAGAAAAAAGAGGGGTGCGTGAGAGGCTAACAATAGTATTTGAAAATCAGCTCTTAATTGAACATATATATATATATATATATATATAAGAAAGTACCTCTAATGACCATGGCTGAGACCCTGATAAAGCAATTTCTGCTAATTGGTTGATATCAATATTTCTTGGGAGAAACATGATAATCCTAGTAGCAACTTCCTTTGCAGTGTTAAAGAGAAATAACTGCACAAATACATGACTGAGTTACATTGATCCAGAAAAGATGAGAGAAACTAATATGACAACCAACTCCAAAAGTTAAAAGAAAAAACATAGGAAAGTGGAGGAAAACACACAAACACACCCATCATGTGGCTTAAGCATTGTCTTCATGTCGCATGTCTTTACTTTCGCAATCTTTCGTAACAATTAGGTTTATTAGGCTCATTATTGAGTTCAATAGTATTTTGTTCATCAATTTGTTCAGCAAGAACGGGTCACAAACCACTGTTGCAGACATTATCGCATATTAACTGCTTGGTTTTGTTTCCAAAACTGTGAGCAACACCCAATGAAAGCAAAGTCTCATTATCATCATGAAGTAACATCATAAGCATAAATCAAATTCATGAATCTCAATAGGAGAAGAGAAAAAAAGAAAGAACATAAGTATACCTAGCTATGTGGTCCTAGACATCTGATGAGAATTTCTCATGATGTGTTCCCATCATTGCAGGTGTTATTGTTCTGATTGATTTCATGTGAATGTTCCGAACATCTGCTTACAGTGACAGCTGACAAAGCGGTATCAGATATAGAAGTGTCAACAGTGAGTTCAATCTCCCCTGAAAGCTCAGGATATGGCTGATCCTGTGAAACATCTTTATCCATTGATTCTTGAAATGAATCAATTTTACTCACACCACACCTTTGAATCAGTGCTAACATCAATCTCAGTTACTTCAGAAATCACTTAATTTGGCTTACATATGGCATCAAGAGATGCTAAATATTCCATGCCTGGGCGTGGATACCATGTGGAAGTATGTGTTCTGATATTATAGAAATAATTTCTCATGTAGTTAGAATCCCAATATTACCATCCAGTCTCCGGAATCACTGTTGTTTGGCTGTCAGTTCCATCAGGGTCAAGAACTTCTGAACACATGGAATACGAAATTGACTCAGAAACACCTGGCACTTCAGGGATATAGTCCTAGCATGTTTTGGTAAGTTCTGCTTCATGGCAAGTCACTAATGAACACTCAAAGTGATTATGTTCAATTAATTTTTCACGTAATTCTATCTCGTCATTGCCAACAGCCGCATCTGTTGAGCAGCCTCGTCGGCAAATTCCATCATCTAAATCAGTTGGGCTCGCTGCAACTACCATTGTGTCATTGGGCGCAAGACCACTGTTTAAAGGGTCACAATCTTGACCTTTGTTACAAACAATGCCTGATATTTCGTCATGATTTTGTACCTCAACAGCATCACAACTAATCTCAATTAAACTTGCAGAACTATCTCCTTGACGAGCAGAGCATTGACATTTAGTGACGTCCTCTGCAAC